TGCCTTAGGGAATTATTTTTTTTTCCTAGAGAGAAGGAAACATTTTCTATAGAGGATCTGATAGCAGTTTTGGTGGGTGATCATGATTTTAAAAGTTCCCTATTGTGGTTAATAGGTGCTAACCATAGCGCAGAAGCTCTCAGAAACCTCCTCACAGGAACAAGAAGAGACACATAATCCCATTTCAGTCAATGTTCCTGGAGTGCTTTTTTTGCCCCTTTTTTCTTGGGCTTTTCTTCTACCTTTACTTTACTTTGTAGATCTCACTGATTGCAGCGGGCTGGCAAACAAGGTCTATTTAGTTAAAACTGCCAGATTCAATTAAGGGAAGTTTTTCTTTACCTTTGCTGTAATTTTACGACCCATCTAGTAGGTAAATCCGCCCCCTTAGTGGTCTGTTAATAAGCAAGTTTCAAGCCATATGTGAAAAGTCCATTGTGTTTTATTTCCCATCGTGCTGCCTCTCGGTCAGGTAACTTCAGGGCTAGATAATTGAGTTGGAAAGGACTCTGCTCCCACCCAAACTATTAATCTAAGTCCCCAGAACTCAGAACCTGGTTTGAAGACACATCACTATTCTGAAAGATGTGACTTCTGATGGCACTTAAAAAAGGATCTTGACCTTTCATGCCTTCTGTGAACAACCTTGTGCTTTCAAAGGACTCCTGTTGCTAGTGCCAAAATCTTGAGGTTCTCCTCCGCTCACCTCTTCGGTGTTAGCTACTGAGTACCTTCCAAAATCAAAGATCTGTGGAAACTACTGAATAAAAGAAAGCTATTGAGGTTTTCTGTGTTTACTTAGCCCTGTACAGATTTATACTCATCTGCCTGGGCTGTTTGCCTTCAATAGAAATAACTGAAGTAGAACACCTCTGAACAACAGAATTCTTGTCTTGGTGTTCAGCTGCGTGTACTCCTCTTATCTTGGTATGTTCAAGCTTGGATCTTTGCTCCTAGAAAATCTGATCGGTGTCCAAAGATACCATCCAAGAAACTGTCAGGGATCTCTGCCAATCTAGCTATGATGGCCATGCAACATCAAGGCAAGATTTAACTGGCCCACTGGCCTTTATGTGAAGGAAGAGGTGAGGTGGTGTTCTCGGGCAGCTTTAAAGAGCTTTCTCTCCCTGATACTTCACAAGTTGAAAATTTCTACATCGTCTGTTCTACATGAAAGTGGGAACATGTTTCCTAGCCTAGTGCCCAGCAGGCCCCTAAGTGTCACCTCGTTCCTAGAAGTTCCTTGCAGATAATGGGGAGAAATAAGGGTGACCTCTCTGCTCCAGAGTAAGCAGATGTTTTTGTTTACTTGCTTTAGGAGATGTGAGGAACAAAAGGACCATCTAAGATGCATTAAATAGAATAATTGTGTGAAAGGCAGTGTTTGATATTGGCAGTACTAAGGCAAGGCTGTACTTAATGATGGGGCTCAGCTGTGTCTTTGAACAGACGCCCAGGACTTTGGGGAAGGTCTTGGAGAAGGGGCTGCCCGTTTTGCAGCATTTTTAGGTATTGGCAGTACTAAGGCAAGGCTGTACGTAATGGTGGGGCTCAGCTGTGTCTTTGAACAGAGGCCCAGGACTTTGGGGAAGGTCTTGGGGAAGGGGCTGCCCGTTTTGCAGCATTTTTAGCTCTTCAATTCTAGGAAGCTCCCAGACAGATAGAGGAACTTCAGCAACATCTGTACTTAAACTATCTCACTATGTTCCAAGATTTTAGGTAGTTACATACTGAGGTTTTGATGGTTTTTGGAGGTGTGTATTCTCAGAACCGTGTGAGCTGAGGGAGCTTGCCGAGGCAAGGCAGTCATGAGCCAGAGAGAGGAGAAGGACTTTCTCTGAAGTCTTCAGAAAAGGCAAGAATCTGAGCAAGACAATTTTCTGTCTGGGAAGACTCTCTTGGAGACTAAATCTTACATCCTGAAGTGACTGCACACAGAGTTTGTACCCTGCGTGGGTGGATTTGTTTCAGGTATCACCTGGGTATTCTAGGAAGCTCCCAGACAGATAGAGGAACTTCAGCAACATCTGTACTTAAACTATCTCACTATGTTCCAAGATTTTAGGTAGTTACATACTGAGGTTTTGATGGTTTTTGGAGGTGTGTATTCTCAGAACCGTGTGAGCTGAGGGAGCTTGCCGAGGCAAGGCAGTCATGAGCCAGAGAGAGGAGAAGGACTTTCTCTGAAGTCTTCAGAAAAGGCAAGAATCTGAGCAAGACAGCTCTGGTTTGGAAAGAGCTAGTGATACTTTTTTCTGTCTGGGAAGACTTTCTTGGAGACTGAAGCTAAATCTTACATCCTGAAGTGACCGCACACAGAGTTTGTACCCCACATGGGTGGATTTGTTTCAGGTATCACCTGGGTTCACAGACTGCCCTGGGACAAGAGCAAAGAGATGACACTACAGCAGCAAAACAGGCAGATAGCAGTCCAGTCCTCACCATTACTCCAATATCCCTTCTTGGGAGAGGGATCTGGGCAACACCAAAGAAATCTGTGTGCTCCCAGCTTCCTCATTTCCTGACCAGGGTAGATCAGGAGGCAGCACTGAGTTCCTCACCTCTCTGGTCCTTCCTGAAAGCATTACCCAGCCCCATAGCAAACATATCATGAATCATTCATCTTTAATAGATTATGCAAATTGAGGACACCAGATCAATGAAGATCAATAACTGCAACCATTTAATTGCCAGCAAAAACATTTTAAGAATGAGCATTATCTGAAGTCCTTTCTTGGGTAATGGCACCAATTAATCCAAACATTGAATCCTGGCCTAAGTGTAGAGGAAAAATTCTCCGCCCCCCTTTCCCCTGCTGCCTTTCAGGGTGCTGAGGGGTTTTTTTCTTTTCCCTTTTCATTTCCAGTTTCTGAGTTTCCCCATCATTACCACCAGCGAACAGCTCCCAACGCTAATAGTTCTGCTTTTGTTACTCTGTGCTGATTGAAATGTCGCATACAGATTGAGATGTTAGCGCTAAGTTGCCACCTGGGAATGTCAAGCTGGGTCTGAAATGAACTTTTCTCACTCTTGGATCCAGATGGATCAGATGGGAATGTTCTCGAGCTGAGCTGGGAATGTTGCGGGGAACGGAATGGGGATGGCACAGGGGTGGGGGGACATGAAGATTTTCTGCCTCAAACCCACAGCCTCTTTCTGTGAGGCCAGATCTGTCTCCTGTTCCCTTGTTGAGAGTCATGTCCAAAGCTTGTGCAGCGAACCCAGCCTTCAGGAATTCTGCTCTGGTATTAACAGGCTGGAATGCACCATCTTCATTTAGGCAAAATGACTAAAAGGAATCATTTCAATGGCCCCTTTGAATCTTAAACTCTTATTTTTAGGCATCTCACCTTTACATCCTGCTATGGGGATCTGACTTCCCTGAAGGAAGGACAGTGCTGCTCTCCTACTGGCTTTGCCCCCCAAAGACAGGAAAGTGTTTCCTGTAAAAGATGTAGATTTGCTAAATGGTAGATGGACACCAGCTGAGTTTTGTCTTGCATATGCAAATACAAAGAAAGATGGAACAATTTTGCCATAGCTAAGCCATGTTTTTATGGTTGGCTAAGGAACTGCGTGGCTACAAGGATCCTGGATCAAGCCTGATAGCATTAAAAGCCATGAAAAAATTCCGGGTGTCATGCTTTCTAGACACTCCCTAAATAGGCAATTCACCTCCCCATGGTTCTCCATGACATTTTGCAGACCTCACACTGGATCTCCTCTGTATTTGGGGTAACTGTTACTAATCCTGCCTGGTCCCAAAGTTCCTGGTAGCCAAAAGGTGCATGCAACAATATGCCATTGCTCAGCATTTGCTGAACAGGCAATGACAAGCCTCAGCCATGAGCTGCTTTGACCTCAGGGGCTATTACCCAGGGCTTCTGCAAGAAAACATTGATACAAACTCCAGTGCTCTTCATTCTGTGCCACCAGAGGACAGGTTTTGGGCCAAAAGGCAACTGCTCCATCCCTTGGCACTAGGACTTACACCTCTTTGTCATGAGTCATGATTTCTCAGCTCACACCGCGATGTTTCCAGAGGGGCCACAGCAGATTTTAGGACAAGAGGGGACATACTAAAGAGGGGTGAGTCACTTATACCTGGTCTAGAGACCCAGGAGGGGATGTGCAAATCTACGGTGAGCAGGGAGCAGTGGCAACTAAAGCCTGAGAAGATGGGCTGTGGCACCAGAATATCTCCTTGTGGCTCTAGACACTCACAGAGCAGGCAGTATCAGGATGGCCCGTGGCAATCTAATGCTGGTATCAGGATACCCCATGGCCCCAGGACAACCCTGTGCCACTCAGGTCCTGCACGTGCCACCAGTGAAGAGGAAGTTTCTGTGGAGTGGCCGCTGCAGAAATTGCCTCCTACTTCTGTGCATCCCGATTCCTCTACTGTCTTGCACTTGTTCTTATCTCCTACTCTCCCGGTCACACCTGAGTTTGATGTGCCCACACATGAGGGAAGGGGAAAAGCTGTGGACAAGTATTTTTTGCCAGCTGCCATTAGAGACTCTTCAGGAAGAGGGAGTTTAGCAGTCACAGTTCAGCAGACCTCAGTACTTTGTTTGCAAATGCCCCTTCCAAATGCCAGGGTTGAATAGAACTTAAATTATGACTTCTCCCCGAGAAAACCAAGGGGATCATGGGGAAGCCATGACCCTTTTGTTCTCAGACCCAAAGGAAAAATCACGGAGCGTATTTGGACATACCTGTCCTCCACCAACACCCATCCCTAAGCCCCACCTGGGCACGCAAGTTCCTAACTCACACCTGGGTTTCTCTGTCCTGGAGTCACACCTGGGGCACCTCTAGGTGTACCCAAAGCTACCAATACTCTGAATTTCAAGCTTCTCTGGAGGCCTTATGTCCTCCAGTCTTTCTGTCTCTTTCCGTGAGGGGTTATCTTGCATTAGCAGAAAAAAGCAGAAGCTAATGGTGATGAGGGAAATAAATAAAAAAGCTTGGTTCTGCTGTTTGGTCAGGCAGCTTACCGGTCACCACAGGGTACGTCTGGGGTCCTGACACATTTGTCCCCAGGTCTGGGTTAGCAGAGGTGGATAGACTTGATTTGACTTCATCGAGACCAGGGGTCAGAGCTGGGAGGGAGTACTCATTACCCTGGGGAAGAGAGGAGAAAGACAGCTCGCTATTGATGCGCCGGCAGAAAGGGAAGGGTGTACAGATGGGGGGGAGGAAGAGGAGAGCTGCAAACCCCTGCACAGATGGAAGAGGAGGAGGAGGAGGAAAGGGAGAAGATGAAGTGACAAGAGGGCTGCTGGGGTGTGTGGGGGTGTGTGTGTGTCCTAGGATGAAGGGGAGGAGGGGTGAGGGATCTGGCCCGTTATCTCTGGTGTGATGGAGCCTTGGTTTGGTGCTGTGGTGCCAGCCCGGGGGAGAAGAAGAGGGAAACCCACGTCCCCTCCTCTTGGCTGAGCAGAGATAGGAGGTGTTTGCCCTGGTGACAAGGACAGCTGGGGCAGAGGGCTGCGATGACACGAGTGGGACAGGAGGGCTGGAGGAGGCAGCCAGTGTTGGTCCACTGTAGCCAGGAGGCTCTCTCTGCCTCCCCTCCGCTGTCACCTCTGTCCTAGCTCTTTAAAAACAAACAAAGAAGCCTCATCCCCTGCCTCTGTCACTCTGTGCATTGGGGTATGAAATTGGGGAGGGGGGAGCCACATGGCTAACAGAAGGGTGGGAGGGGGAGAGCCATTGAATCTGAAAGGGTGTCCTGTCCGAAAGGCTCTGGTAATTGCCTTTTTATTGTGGCAGCCTCCGGACCAGACGCGGGAGCTGGAGAAACCAGGAAGGCTACAAAACAGCAGGAAAAGTTGCTCTGATTAATATTACGTTAAATTAAAACTGATTTTCTGCTCTTTCTGCTCCTTTTTTTTTTTTTTTTTTCTTCCATGCGCTTCCCCAACCCCCTCCCCACATCTCCCCCTCCTCCAGTGGGCTCCCCACTCGCTGCCCCCTCCCCGCCCCTGGCCCTGCTTGCCTAGGACTGCCTAGTCATTTCCAATTCCTTCTCGTATTGATCTTCCTGTAGAAATCAGTTTTGTAATTAGCTGCAAATTAGGCCTTCTACTGGGGGTGAGCCTGCCCCCTGATTTATCACCAGAGTAATTCGCTGTGATCGGAGAGAAATTAAAATGAACTCAATTAGGCTTCGGATTTGCTTTATGGGCCCTGCTCAGAGTTTCAGGGGGAAAAATGAATGTGCTGGTGCTTAATAGTCTAATGAAAGTAAATAAAGGTTATTCATTGTAATAAACCCAGGGACTCTGGGATGAAGGGAGTCCACAGCCAGCCTCTCCTTCTCTTCCTTTGTTGGTTTATGGCTTGGGGCGGTTTAAAAAGACTTTTGATTTTCATTTTATTAAGACAAACAGCTTTTGGGATAAAAGGCCGGGGGAGCGGGGGAGTAAGGAAAAGGGGAGTGGGGGGGGGAGCAGAGCTGCAGAAGTGTAGAAAACTCGTTTGGAGATGGGAGTCAAGTCTCAGCTTTGGGCCGTGGAGGAAAATGCTCTGTTCGAGCCCGACGCCGTGGCTCGGTGGTCACCGGTGGGATCTGAGAGGGCAGGAGTTCCCACACGGTGCTGTGTGGCAGTGGACATGCGTGTTTTGCGTGTTCCTGGCAAGAACATGTCCACATACCTGCAGGAGTGTGTGCAGAGGGAAAGGCAGCCACGGGGATTTTTGGGAGGACACAGCGTGCGTCTATACGGCAAGTTCAGGAGAGGAGGGAGAGCTCGTGTACACACGTGCATGGGCACGGTGATGTATTTACAACTAGGAAATGCTGTAAAATGTAAATGTGATGGGTGTGCAACAACAGGGCAGTGTGAGAACAAGGGGTGAAAAGGGGGAGAGGGATTTCGGTGAGGGAATCTCCCTGCCATCGTCCTATGGGAGCCTGTGGGTCCCCATCCCCAGGCCGGGCCCTCACCTGCTCAGATTTGATGTGCTCTGATGTTTGAAAGACGTCGGGGTAAGAAGGACGCTCAAAAACTCGATCTAAAGCTTCCAGCTGCTGCTGGGTGAAAGTGTCGCCGCGAAGGTGCTTCCGCAAACTGTCCACGCTGCTCTGGGAATCTCCGTTGGGAACTGAGCCCTCGGATACATCTGCGGGGCACAGACAGAGAAAACAGGGAGTTAGCACCACCCTGGCTCGGATCAGCAAGGGACGTGGGGCAAGGACAGAAGGGGAAAGAGCGAGGCCCCTCTGCTTCCACCCGGGGAGCTGTGTCACTCCTGCGGGAAGGGGACACTGCGGGGACCCGAGGGAAGCCCCCTCCTGACTGCTGGAATGGCTGGGCTGCTCCCGTGGGCTCCGTGGGACTCTCCTGCCCCGGGGGGGAGCGAGGCTGTGGAGAATGGTGCTCGGCTCAGAGAGATGAGTTTCGGTTCTGCTGATTTGCAGTGTTAAAAATCGCCAAATCTCCATCGCTGAGCATAAAATGGGAGCAAAGCACAGCGATTAGCATCGCTAGAAGGCTACCGGAGAGGCAGCTCCCAGAGAAACCTGAATGCTGGGGATGGAGCTGTGCTGGAGAGGGCTGAGGAAGCCTGGAATGGAGAAAGGGCTTGCTCTTAAAGCTTGGCTGGGAGTCGGTCTCTGTTGTAGCTCCCCAGTCCCAATAGAAGTCATATCTCTGTTATCATATCCTTCTCATCTGATTTTGTCCCGTTGTACCCCAGATGAGTCTTTCGTCCCCCTCAGATAACAGGGACGATCCTGTTTCTGACTCCATGTCTCACCAGAGACAGGTCTCTCCCCGTGGAGCGTCTGTGGGTTTCTGCTCTGATCTCTGTCCCGCTCTCCTACGCGAAGCTCGTGATTTATCACAACCCGTATCTCTGTTATAAAACTCCCTCCAAAACGAGATGAATCTTTGTCCGTGCAGGTCCCCCTTCCTATCCAAAATTAATTATTGTATTGCAAACCCTGGTCCTACTCAGTGGGAATGGGCCTTCCTGATATTGCTTTGTTCTGACTAGGAAAAAAAAAAGCCTTTTTGTGGTAGAAGCGTGGCCAGAAGTGCATCTCTGTAGCTGCACCAGCCCCCTGAGACAGCGCAGTCTCGCTGCAGTCCCTCCTGCCACCTTCCAGCTCTCTCTGTCTCTGTCGTGCCATCCAATGTCTCTTACAGCCCGCTCCTCCCCTCCCAGGTGAGCCCATTATAAATGCCCTACCCCATCCAAAGTGAATCTTTCCCTGTGATAAACCATCTTATCACCCACCTGTTGGGGTTTCTTTTTTCCCCTGTTATCCCCCAACTCAAATGAGGTGCATTTATCTCGGTTATAACCCCTTTTTCTCTGAAGTGAGTGAGTCTCCTGCTATTAGCATCTGTCACCTCCAAGGTGAGTCTGTCTGTTATAACCTCCTGTCCCAGCTGAAGTGAATCTTCCTTTGTCATAATCCCTCATCTCATCTGAGGCAAGTCTGCTCATTATAATCTTCTCCAACTGTGCTGAGTATCTTTCTGCTGTCACCTCTCAGCCTAACTTTGGTGAGACTGGCTATAATCCCCTGTCTCATCCGTGCTGATATACCTCCATACCCTTCGTGCCGAATCTCCACCTACTGTGCTTCATCAGACGCGAGCCTGACTGGCTTATCACCCTGTCTAACCTAAAATCAGGTTCTCCCTCTTACGCTGCATTTACCTTCCTGCTTTTTCACTATTCTTCCTGAGACTTCAGACTTTCTCTGTGACTTCCAGGCTGGGAATCTCAGAAACTCACTGCCTGTCCAGAAAGTGTTTGGGGGAATCTGTACAGACCTTTTCCCTCCTGGGAAATGATGCTCCCAGGAGTCGGGGGGGGACACACACACACTCACTGTGCCACAGCCAGAACCACGCCACTCCCCTGCTTCATCTTTTAGCTCCTGGATGGTGCCAAAATGGGTATTTTCCTGGCACAGTTAATGCCCAACTGGTGGCCCAGAGTTATAACTGAGCCTGCTGCCTTCTGGCTATGAGATATATCCGTTTATAGGTGATTATATGATATGATATAATCAATAGTACATTATATACAGTAACGTAGTACAGTACCACTCGCAAGACCATAGAAAATATTACATATTGATTTGTCCCAGCCAGCAGCCTTCCCTTGAGCAGCCCCTTCTCTCTTTCTTTTCCACCCCAAGCCAGAGCAAGGCTGTTTAGTGGCATTTTCTCCTCTCCTTGTGCTTTTTCGCATGAGGGATTCAGGTTCCTGAAAACTGGAGTTTTCAATCCTGAAAGCCGGCAGATTTGACTAAGGGAAAACAAAGCAAAGACTGGGCTTGGTGGATGGGCTGTTATACCAGGGAGTAGCTTTCAGGAGGACTGGGATAGCTCGAGGCTCAGGCTCCCAATTCTAGCAGACACCTCTCTCTGCTCCTACCTGCAGAAAGCTGGCACGGAACTCCTGGGTCCAGGCTCAGGAAAAAGAAAAAAAAAAAGGGTATTTCTGTATCAGCACTTGTCTCACCCTGGCTGCAGCCTGGGAAGCTGCCTTTGAGGATTTTTCCACATGTGTCAGTCAGTGTGCATGGCTGTGCACACCATGATGCTAATACACGTGGGTATTTTTGCAGTAGATCATTAAACTGGTTTCCTATAGATTCTGCATCGCCGTACATGCCTGAAAAGCTGTTTGCCTGCTGTATTTGTAGGTTATATTTGATTTTCAAGGCTGGCAGCCCCACACTGCGCGTGGTGCTCGCTGGGAGTGGACGGGTGTTCGCGTAGAGGGTCCAACTGCCATTGATTGTCATTAAACTGGATTTTAGCCTTTAGTGAGGTGCCCCGGGTGGTTACACAGATTAGTGCACACATACACATATATTTACAATTCCTGTCTGCCTGCAGAGCCCTGTGCACGCGTGTCCCCCGTGTGTGCACGGGCCATGCCTTTGTGTGAAGAAGCTGAAACCACAGCTTTCCCAAGTCGCTGTAGGAGTCTCTTTTCCTTCATTTATTCAGGGGCCCTTCAGATCTTGACAAATCTGTCACTCTAAATTTGCGAGAGATTATGGTGCTCTCTCCCTAGCACGGAGAGAGGTGATATATGATATCTGCTGCCCCTATTGATTGCCTGATCTGGTGGCAGAGGGCTGGCGAAATGAACTTGAAATGAACATCATGCCTCAACTCATTGTGCGTATAATACACTACTTAATCCCACATTTTTCAGCCGCTATGGAATTCAATTGATCAATCATGTCCCTCTGATAGTACTGTTTTAGGGGTTATTGCTGCTCTGCTCACTGACCTTTTTATTTATTTATTTATTTGTGTCGGCGTGTGTGTGTGTGTGTGTGCACGTAAGTGCGTATCTGTATTTGGGAAACTCAGGACCAGCTGATAAGAAAGGACCTCTATCGTCAGTGGGAAATGAAAGAAAAGCATGAAGGGAGGAGAAAGGGAAGGAACGGGCTTAGATAAGAAATCAGAATGATCAAAGCAAGCGAGTAGATAGGGAGAGGTGGAAAAGTTGTAAGGAGAAAGGCAGTGCTTTGGTTTCAGTGGGAGTTCTGGATGGGGGTGAGGGGAGTGTGCTCTGCCAGGGCTTAGGCTTTAACATCTACAAAAGAAAAGAAACTTTTGACAGAGGTCTGTAGGCTACTTGGAGGTGGACCTTGTCTAGACAGCTTGCAATAGTACTCGACTTAATAATGGTAGGGCCCATGAACCCTAAACTTCACAGAGCTGTAGTATCAGCTGTGCATGTGGATTTTACTTATGAAGTGGGGAAAGTTTCACAGAGATGATCCTGAAAAGACAGATTTATATGACTTGTGTTGCTAACACTGAGACGTTCACAGTCATGGATCATTGTATTTTCTTCAAAACCAAAGGATTGGAGATTCCCTGTTTTTGTTTCCTGGTGTCAAAACCTACAGAGTACACATTTTCATTTTTTCCCTGAAGACACTTCTATCTGGTTTTAGATCAAAGTTGCGATTCTCATCTAAGCATAGGACTCTGAGCTGGACTATCAGGAGAAGCCTCAAATATCATCATGCACAAGCAGTGGAGCTGAGAACTGCGTGGCCATGAGCAAAGGTGGCAGTAAGAAGCAGAGAGGACTTCGGGGAAGGAATGGGGTCCATCAAAGGGTTGTGGTTGAAAGTGAAGGGAAAGCTCATGGGGAAAACTGGGGTTGGGAAAGACTAGCAGATCCCATGAGAAACGGCACCATCGTGGGCAACAGTCCACTGCTGAAGAATGGTGGTAGGAGTAAAAGCTTAAAGGATGGTGATTTGCCAAAAAAGCAGCTCTTGGAATGCTCCAACTGCAGGATGAGTGTGGGGATGCCACCGGGATAACTGCCCTTGCTGTGCCGATAGGAAGCACCATCACCTTTCCCAGTTGCCCTTTTATTGGCGAGGGAACCTCTGTGGTACCGTACCACGGGGGACACCTCTCTCTTAAATCAGAGGGATCTTTACAAACAGCTCGAGAGGTGAACCATGGCCTCAGTCACCGCGTCCCTCACGAGAGCACACCATGGCTGTCAGCGTGAGCAGGACTGGCCTTGCACATGTGACAGGAAACATCCCTCCTCCCGAGGGAGCACACGCAGCCGGTGTTCGGAGCAAACCTTCGACACCAGACACAGAAAGGCTCCGGGGGTGTCACAGGAGCATCCTGACAGATAACAAGGAAATGCTGTGCCGGAGGACGCAGGAACAACCTTAACTACAGCTGACGTGGAATATGTCCGTTAAATAGCTCCAAAACAAAGAGACATTCCCAGGTCTGGAAGCCACAAGGACACCATCATGTACAAGTGGCACAAGAGAGTTACTTCCCTGGCTACAGGTGACAGAGAGTGACCTTGCTCAAGGTGGGATAGGGCCCCCTCAACAAATAATTCAGAAGTATCGCTGACATAGAGAGACCTTTGTGGCACAGAAACGTGGAGGAGGGTGATGAGAAGTTGTGCAGCTGCCACACAAACGTGGAGATTCTCTTTTTTTGGGGCAGGGGCTATTACTGGGCCTGTGCCATGTCTGCCCACTGCCTCGCGGGGCCCTCATCTCAGCTGGGGCCTGGCAGCGCTACCCATAAAAATCACAGTCGTAATAAAAGCGAATGTGACTGGCATGAGAAGTGCCAGCCAGG